GAAATGACTGCTTTTGGGGCAGAAATGACTGGGACAAGATTGACTGTGTTATTGGGGCGGAAGTGTCTAAGACTGAAACAACTGGGGCTGAAATGACTGTTCACAATAATATTCACATTTTTGCAAATTGAGCTTTGCGTTGTTACAAATGTGCCACATGTGATTTAGAAAAAAACTGTTTCGCAAAAAAAATACTGTAAATTTAAATTTCAATCTTAGAGCTGACTGACATGGTACATAGAGTTTCAGCAGAGAAGCGTAAAAAATATTGGTCATGTTGAAATAATGACTCTAGTGGAACTTTCACGACATCCAGAAATAACCCGCACTCAGTAAACAGAGAAAAGAATAGGTTATAATTGTTTTTTATTGTCAGTCTCCATAAATTAAAATAATAAAATTATACTTGATTAAAAATGGATTATAATTTTAAAATTTTTTCGAAACAAAAAAACCCAATATAATCGACTATAATCAATTATAATCGATTATTTTTTGAAAAAATTGTTTCTGAAATTGTGTTGAATATAATCCATTTTAATCGATTATAATCCATTTTTATTCAAAAAACGTAATCGCTTCATTTCATTTTATTTTTGTTTCGTTTTGCATTATGATGCCAAACTGTGCATTCTGTGCATTGTAAGCGGATTCCGCAACAGGCCAAAATCAGATTTGTCGCGGAATCCGCAACTTTGTTACTTTTATTTAATCTTCTTTGCTATTTTGGATTACACAAACAAATACCTAGAAGACTGTACCGCTAAAAACCGCTTCGAAAATAGGTGCAACGTTTAAGAGAATCCGCAACGTGTAAGTGGAATCCGCATTTTGTTTGCGGATTCCGTTTACATATATGTATACGTGTAGTATAGCGTTTAAAATTATATCTTTTAATTACTGGTCACCAGAAAAATCAATCTCAATTACTTCATTGATCAACTACCAGTTGAAATACTAAACGTTTGGTCTCATTTCTTGTCAACTCAACTTCGATCTCAAATCCTGTCAACTTCGATCTCAACTTCGATCACAAAATTTGACCTACTGAGCTTCGATCCCGAATACTGACCTACTTCGATCTGAACTTCGATCCCAAATACTGATGCAATCCCAAATAATTCGGCGATATGCTGTGCGTTGTGTTTCCAAACACTGTCAAGCCAATGACTACAAATATTGAATTTAATCTGCGTTAAGCTTTCAAAATCAGTATTTGGGGTAAAGACAATCCCAAAAACTAACATAATTTGGCGATACGCTGTGTGTTCTATTTCCATTCTCTCTCAACCCAATGACTCCCAATATTGAACTTATTCGGTGTTGTGTTTCCAAAATACTAAAAGATGACATCAACCGATTTAGTTAACAAATGTTTTGAGATTTGTTCGTGGATTCCGCTGACAATGGGTAAGTCCTTGCCTTTAATTTCCGCATTGCTATCGATAAGAATTCCAGCTCTACTTTTTAATTGTTCCGATGCAAGTTCAGTGATAAACAAAATTCTGAATCCACTTGTAGTTTGCGGAATCCGCTTACATTTGCTTATAATGTAACAAAATAATGTAACTTATTTGACAAAATTTACTTGTACGCGTTATTTGTACGCGGAATCCACGGAAGTGTTGTGAGTGGAATCCACTGACATTTTGAAACTTATTTAAAGGTTTGTCTATGTAATCTAAGAACATACAGATACGAAATTGTGCGCCCATCCAGTGCACAGTTTGGCCTCGTAATGTGTGTGCTTGTCAATTGGTTTCTTTTCTTACTGTTTACTGTTTACTGTTTACTTCCCTACTGCATGGACGGATTTAGGGGGTAGACGCCTTTTATCGGGGATTCGATCTCCTGCCTACCCAAAGGGTTACCCTTTGTAGTGTTTTGAAATATCCATATTTGGTGACTGACCCTATGGCCTTTGGCGATATAAAAATTAACTTTGAGGGGGAGCACGCGCCAAAAAAAGGCAATTTTTTGGGGAAATTTTTCCTAAAAATGACCAAAAAACCGTTTTTGGCCTTTTTGTTCGAAAGTTTGCCTACGGCGCACAAAATTTGGCTAAAACAGGCTCTTTTGAATTGTTTGGAAGAGCTCGGAAAACCATTTAGGTCGACCTAAAAAAAGATCGATAAAATTTTTCGGAAATTTTTTGAAGTTCCGCCTCCACCCGTCGAGAAAATCTCATATCCGCTCCTGGCTTACTGATTTCTTTCTTCGACCTGATTTTACTGTGTTTTCATGCAGAATAGCTAATTTATAATCCTTTAAATTTCATTTTTCTAGTAAAATAATATTTTGATACAAAAAGGGATTATAATCTATTATAATAGATTATAATAGATTACAATAGATTATAAAAGATTATAGAGATCATAAGAGATTTTCGGAAAAGTTTTATTCAATTATAATTGATTATAAGTTATTAAATTATCACCGAAAAGTTATCATTATAACGGATTATAAATGTTTTAAACATTAAAGTTAGCGCTTGAAATTAATTCTAATTTTGCTAAAAGTACGATTATTATTCTAATACAAGACTGCTCGTATCCAGGCAAAGCACTCAATGTTCCGAAAGCCTTTTAAAGTCTATGAAGCAGTAATAATATGAAAAAACTAAATGTAAAAAAAAAATGAAAAAAAATTCTAAAAAAAGTTGAGATTTTTTGTGAAAATCATCCCCCACACGCCATATTAGGTACAAACTGATAAATTTCGCTTCTAGTACTAAATCAATTATGGCAAATAAGCTTCTTTTAACCAATTTGCAACAATTTCTATGACGGATTAAATCTACGCTTACTTGTTAATAGCGCGAAATTTATCGCGCGTTAATTGTCGCAAATTGGCCAAAATGGCAATCTTTAAGCCCCCAAAACTTCACGAAAAATGATCACAGGTAAATTATCTTTGCAAATTTAAGTTCAAGACAACTATATTTTTAAAAATTCTTTCAAAAATTGCTAGTTAAAAAGAAATTTGTCTGAAGAAAAATTAGTCGAAATTTGTCTGAAGAAAAAAAAACCCACCCCAAGCACAAATATCGAAAGTCGGAACAATAATCGATTATTTTGTCTGTACAAGTATCAAAAATCGGAACAATAATGAATTTTTTTCGCTTTACTCAGTGCGGGAATCTTCTCAACTTTAGAAACCAACAGAAAATTGCATATCGCTCAAATGAAAATCTTACGAGTTCAATAACGTGACAAAACGTATTTAACCGCAACTGTGAAACAAAGACAACCATGGTTCTTGATCAACTCCGAAAAGGAAAATAGCAAAAAAAAATTAGAACAGTTTAAAGTTTTTAAGTCACTTTTTTTTCTAATTGCTTTGAAAACTATGATTAAAAAGTTTCAGCTACTATTATAGTAATAGTTCCCCCTCTGCTGATTTTTTTTCTGAAATTGATGTTCAATATAACTTCAAGTGACAACATATGCTTCATTGTAAGCTTTCAACATTTGTAAATAATGACTTTTTGAAGAAAAAAAACGTCTAATAATTATTTCCTGCTGGCGTTTTTTTTTCGTGTTACCAACAGCCAGGTTGAATCAATTGAGCAATCTCCCCCCCCCCCCATTCTCACTTGGGGGGATAAAGCGCAATAGGTCAATTGATCCGCCAGGTTTTTTTGTTCCAATGATCAGCGAGAAAAATAGGCGGCGGAAAGCTTTCTAAAACTCTTATCGTAAACGCTTTTTAGTAAAAATTTTTAAGCCACAAATAATTTATTGCGCTGGTAAAAGATGCAATAAAAATGGAAGAGTGATTTCATAGCTGTCGTCAATCAAGCGTGCATTTCCGGCTTTGAAATGAAGGCGACACTTAGAAGAATTATGAAATTCATGAATGAATTTCAATTGCGTCTCGTAATTTCAATGAGACTTCATTTTTAGTCTGTTTTTTGATTCGGTTACGCAGATTAATAATCTTTTCTCAATTTGGCGTCTTAAATTAAAAACGAGCTTTGTTTTTGAACCTTTAACCAATTGGTTATAACCTGAACATGGACTAAAAGCCAAAAAAAAATACAAAAAAAGCTCAATAATTTCAAGGAAAAAAGGCTAATTATAAGGGGTTCGTCTGAGAAGATGAAGAAGAAAAAAATCTTAGCAGTCAGATTTTTCTTTGAAATCTTCCTCCACATATTTAATTAGTTTTTGACAAAAAAGGGTCTTTTGTTAATTTTTCTTTTTTCAGCCTCATTAACACGGCTTTCAAACAAAAATTCACAAAAACCAAAAACTGATTCAGATGCGTATTAGAGGAGCAAATATATTAAATGAAAATTGTTTATAGATCGGTTTCTAATTTTCGATTTTTTTTCTTTCGCTCAGACTGATTAGCTGCTTTGGACGTGATTCAAATAAGGCAGAAATTTAGGTAAATTATTTTAAATTGCGGGAAAAGGCGGATATTTATATTAAAGTATGAGTGAAATGCAGTTTTCAGCAAATTACAAAAATGTTTCAAAGTACGTTAGTTACTTTTTGACTGAAAAAAATGGCCAAAAGTAAAGTATATGTCATTATTTCAAAACTGATAGCAGCAGATGGCTGAATTTTGTTCCATTTCCTTATTTTCTCGATTAATACGGATTTTGGGGGTTCAATTTTGATCCTTTTTAAAAAATTTAATGCAGTTTTGCATAAATTTTCCCCCTTTTGAATTGATTGACATCATAAGTGGAAAGTCATTTGCAACCATTTTGACTAAACGGATCTAAATTGAACCTTGAAAAAAAATAAGTATAAACACCCCAACCTCCTACCTCTCAAAAGACATAAACTA